TGCCGTGAGTGTTGGTTGATTGATGTTGTCATTGGAACTTAGAGTTTTTCATAGTTTACCGAGTTTCGTGATGTTTTGAATCCTGTCACGAATGTCTAAGTTTCTACGCGTTTGGTTGTTAGATCTATGTATGAAGTACTATGTCTTTTCTTTGATATCCCTAATTATTTTTCTCAATGCGACCTTCTCGACCAATTGAGATCCTGCCTTTTCCCCAATTCACCCTGACGATACATTCGCCAAAAATACAGTTTTTAATGTACAAATCTCGTGGCCAACTACTGTAGCGTCTTTTTTTGAACGGGTTTTGGCAAGAAGCCTCGTAGAATAGACAGAGCACGAACCAGCCTAGTAGAAGAAGAGATAGGAATGGGTCACAACAAAAATTATAGAGTCTCTCAGAAAGCCACAGAAAGGAGTGACGTGAGAGTTAGGCCTAAAGCTATGTCTGTACCTCCAAAGGGTCTAATCTAGTTCCAAGGTCACTCCAAGGTTATTAGACTCTTCCCTTCTATGATCAGAGCCAGTCAATTGATCATACACTAAAAGTCACAAGGCGTCCTTACATCCACTTGATTCTCCATTCAACTTCAGAGGTGGTTATTGATGCAATGGGCGATGCAAGCATATCGTCCATTAGACTTGACGGAACGGCACAAGCCGTCTGATGTTGATCCTCTCACGGATCGCATTTGTGCGCACTTTACCATTAGTGTAAACATTTGCAATAGGATACGGACCTCTATACTTCGGATCCAACTTCCTTCCATCAGTATTCTTGATCAAAACTTCTCCACCAATTCTGTAATCAAATTCTTTTCGCTTTGCGTTCTGTCTCCTCAAGTTGTCATTGATCTTGTACTGTCTCTTTTGCTGCATAGAAAGTAGATCGACAATCACAGGAATGTTTAGTAGCATGTCACAATGAAACACAGTCTCACCAGGAGTATTGTTCATCAATGCTGTTGATACAGCACATCCCATTGCATGATTGCAAGCAGCAAGAGCTCCCTTGATTTCTTCAACAGCGACTTGAAAGTTTGGAGCAGCATTATTTTATCTGGTTCGCAAAATGTTTGTCACTGTCAAATGCATTCGTTCACAGATCGCATTTGCAGTCGCATTCTTGCTAGTGGCTCCGCCATTATGGATTCCCCAAGTAGCAAGTTTTGCTTGAAAGGCTTCGCCAATGAATTCATCTCCTTGATCGTGAATACATTTGTATGGTCTCCGATATCGCGACAACCACAGCATTTCGAACACGTTTGCCACGTGTGCTGCAGTTTTATTCTCGATAAAAGCAAGTTCAGTGAGATTTGTCACGGGATCAATACAAGTCAACGCGTTGAATTCAAGTTCTCTACCGTTGACGTCAATTTTCCATGGACCAATCAAATCAACAGCAACTGAGAACCATGGAACCAAATCCGCATGTCGTTCAGGTAGCTGTCCATATTGAACATTCGCCGCTTTATTGAGTTGGCAAATCTCACAGTTGAATCGTTCAATTTGTTGCTTCAATCCAGGAGAATAGAATCGCTTTGCAATCGTAGCATAAATTGACATTTTTCCTCTGTGTCCAAGCACAAGGTGATGTTGAGGTCAAACGAATCGCACCGCGAATCCAATAGATCGGACCGGTGGCTTACTCTGATTGGGTAATTCTCACGATCATTTGACACCTCAGTGCTTCTCCCGAATTCTATATACTACTCTCTACGTGTATCTACTGCTGGATCCTCTGCTCAAGTTCAGAGCAATCCTCACTTTCATGAACTATCATCAATAAGAATAGCAACTCTATCTCTATTACAACTCTATTGTCTAGTGCCCTCGACTGTCCCTCAAGTCCCTCTACAGACAATCCTCGCAGGTTATGAGCCCAAGTATCGCTGAGTAGATACAACTAAAGTGAATGTTATCAACGCCTGAACCGGCGACTCCTTCCAAGAAGAAGCGATCTAAGAAGAAGAGGAACGCTTCCACACCTCAAGTCACCTCAGAGGATTGTCAGGAAGAAGCTACCCCTCAACTTCAGAGAGATCTCTCAGACGACCTTGAAGGAACCCTCCAACAGCCTGTGACAAGGGCTGGCTCTCGAGCAAGCACCAACCCTCAGCAAGTTCAGAACCCTCCGCAAGTCGCGATGCCAGCACGCAATCAGGCCAACCAGGTCACCATCGGTGGTGTGACCATCACGACACAGGCGACCCCGGCAACTGATGTGGGTGGCTCGCTTGTCGCCATGAAGAAAGAAAACAGGTCAGCATTGGACGCAGATAAGAAGCACGCCTTCTTTCAACTCATCACAAAGCATCAACATACC